CGAAAATTGCTCACACAGAATTTTTCTTTTTTTGAAAGCAATTACACTAAGCTTTACTGTGTAAATTGTAGAGCGTTCCACGCTGCATCTTGTGGTATATTTTTTTTTTTTTTATGAAGACATATTCTGTGATAAAAAGATAAAAGGAATTCTCGTTCGTGTAGAAAAAAATGATTTTTTCGCAACGACAAAAGTTGGTCGCACAGAATTTTGCTTTTTTTGAAAACAAAAAGTGCATCATTAAAAAAAGCTTTACATTGTAGATTGTAGAGCTTTTCACTCTGCATCTCATAGTATATTTTGTTTTTTTAATAATACCTATTTTGAAATAAAAATATGTAATGCAAAGTGCGGCCATTCATTATGGGTCACCCGTTACTTAATAAAGAATGCATCTGTCACAATAAGTTAGAATTTACAGAGACTAGTCTAACCTTTATATAATACATTGTAACTTACAAAAAAAAAAAACCAATAAAGTTTTCATAATAAAACTTTAAAGCAAATCGATTAAACTTGAAGTATATTTTTTGATTATAGTTTGAACATACAAACAAAGACAACAATTATTTCTACAATTCTTTTTTTTTTTTTAGTTCGACTATTCCAAAATGATAAAGTACTTATTTGAAAAAGAAAAATGAATCATGTTAGATTGTTCAACAAACAAAAGAAGAAAATGCAAATAAAATATTTTTCATAGTTTCTTTTTTCTTTCTTTTTAACGTCTACGAAATCGATATTTTTCAGAATAAAAAACAACTTGACAAAGTATAGATATATCAATACTAATTTGTAACATTCCACAAAGCCAAAATTGTTTTGGTGCATTTCGTAAAATAAAATAAACAGTTTTAAATATATCACCTGATGTCCACATAAGAACCTTGAAAAGAAAAAAAAAATCATATTTAAATTTTCAAAACTTTCTCTCGAAAAAAAAAACAAACAAATTCACCATTTTAACACTCATCCCTTCAGTTGATTTTAATCGTAGATTACGCATAAATTGTGGTGTACCTAATAAAGCTTCGAAAAATACAGCTAGAAATCCAATTGTTTCAATATAAGGTGTATTATCAAGAAGTGACCATGTTATTGTACCTTAAATAATCGAAAAAAAAAAAAACATTTTTTTGCATAATACAAAAAAAAAAGAAAAGAAAAATCTTACTTAAAATAAAAGTAAATACAAATAAAAATTGAAGATAACTTGCAAATCTATATAAATAAAAATAAATAAAAATCTTTTCTTATATATTTCATTTATCGTACGTTGTCCATTTCCAAAAATAATCCATTTGAAAATCCGTAAATTTTTTTTCATGAATATCTAATGTTAATTCTTTTGTATGGGATATATTTTGTTGATTAACAGGTAAATGATGACATAAAGATTTTGAATAAACACGTATACAAAGTTCAAGCATAACAAGCATACATATAATCATTACTATTGATTGAACAAGAAGTGGAATTTCAAAATGTTTACCAAACCAAAATTCAATACGTAATATATTAGCAATAAGTAATGTAAGACATACATAATTAGAAAAACCTTCGGCATTTTGAGAACGTTGTATTATTAAATATTGAGGAATATATGGAACAATACCACCAAACTAAAAATAGAAATAATCGACCATCTTATATTAGCAGAATTGTATTGATCTATTCGGTGTTTTAACGAAAAAAAAAAAATTTTTTTTAACTAGTGAGCCTAAGGATTAGGAGCGTAACCAGAAACAAGCTGTAGAGGAGGCTCAGCCCCCCCCCCCCGTCCCCAGTTATATTTCGAGAGATTGACAAAGACCAGCAGATAATCCGACCTTCAAAACTCTGGGAGAATCGCGTGAATATTTTTCGTGAGATAGTATGTGTTTAAAGTAGTAATATATCTCGTTCAGTGTTTCTTATGTGTATCGAATACAGTTCAATGTATATTATCCTGTGAAGAAAGCGTT